ATTCATGGAAATATAATTGGACATATATATTATAGTAATACATGTATTAGTACTTAAGTAATATCAGGTATTGAGAATGAAAATACTATACTATATGTGTCTGTAGGAATATGATAGTGAAACACAGTTATTATTATTTAGAAAGTTATCATCTTGAATTTATTATCTACAAAGATACAACTGTACCTGAGCAGGTAGATCTTTCTGATTGCTTTATTGTTTATTGGATCAACATTTGTAAATATTTTATTTTATTAATTTATTATTGTTATATATATATATATATATATATTTATATTATGTTCAAGTAGTTATGGTATAACATAGATATGGATATCAATACATAGCTGAAACAGAGGGAGTTTGAAGTAAAGTATGCAGTATGAGGGATAGAAACTCGACCTTCTAAGAACTCTCATATAATAGAAAATTGTGACTACATCTTGTTCTATGCTCAATGAATGTGATACAAGTGATGTATGAATGGACAGGTTAGTGACATTGTGTTATGGTTTTAAGACAAACCATAAACAGAGGGAATGTAGAATATTGCATATTCTATGTTTCTATTGATTATATATGGATGTGTGGATTGACATAAGTAACAGATGGTATAAGTCACAAGGCTTTCTGTGTCTGAGAGCTCTGGAATGTGGATGTGGGGGTTTTGTCCTTATATGGCTAGAGTTAAATGCTGACGTTAGTATTAGCACATCTTTATAGTAACAGAGGGACACAAGGTCGCTCTCTCTTGGCTTGGCTCTTGGCTCTGTACAACGATGTAACTCTCCCATCAGAAGTACAGCAATTACCATCTGCTGTTGAATGTCCACTATCCTGTAACATCCTTTATTATGTTTTATTATTCGTAACAAAGAATAAACCTGAAGAAACCATAAGTCAGATTGTGTATCACTACTTTTCAATAATATAGACATGTATTATTGTGGCGAGCATTTGGCCCAAGACTATATATACAAAAGACGTATATATATATATATAGCAATCAACTGAAGACAAGAAGAAATTAAGAGGATACACCCTCTATGAAGCTTTTAAACGCAGCATAGTTGATCTTGTGTGGTGTGGGGATATTTATGGGATAATAATAGTAAACAGTTGAGAATTGCCCACTAATTCAATTCTCAGATCCCAAAGAACGTTTATCGTAAGTGAGAAGTATTTCATATAAATAATATTCACAATTTGTTATAAAAATAGATTTTATTTATAATAACAAGTTAATTAATAATAATAATATGTAACATGCGTGACAATAATCAATGAATATCCAGTATAAATTGGTATGCAATACAAAGGAATGGCTATACACATTTCATGGGCTAAACAGCATTTTCTGTCAAGTCTTCTGATTTATGAGGTATCTTTAACACAGACTGAAAGTGAAACTTTTCACAGCGAAGGGCCATAAAACCCTGGCTAACAGTTAGAATAACCCTTTCAATGCTGGCTAGACCTCCTAGGTAATTAAGATCTATTCTTATGTAATTTTAAATAAAATAACATTTAAACCAGTCCATTAGTCATTTCCTGGAACCATCCAATAAGAGAATCTACCATGATTATATAAGCAGATTTTAATTTTAATTTGTCTAAAAGATATCTTATCTTAATTTAGAGCAAATCAATACACCTGGATAAAAACAGCGGTATGCTAACACGTGATAATATCACGTCAATATATAATTATTCTTAATTCCACCTGCAGAATGGAATGTTTATAACTATATATTCTTTAGTTAACTAAGATTTCTTGATATGGAAATCTGACCGTGCTTTATCCAGTCATATATATCATGCTATTAATAAACTTTAATAAATTTAATTTAATTAAATGAAACCAGTATAATTACCAGTTGAGTAGATATTTCATCCGATTGGTAGATAGTCTCAGGAACTTATTTGGATGTCTGTAGGTGCATGAGTTATGGTGAAAGGTGGTGTTGGTTAGGAAGTCAGTAAAATTCTAAGTGTTAGAGTTTTAAGAGTAGAGTGTTAGTCTCAGATGTTGTCCGAGTTGGAGTCCCCCAAACTTCCAATTCCTCTCTCCTCTTTTTCCTTCTCCTTTGCATCTCTCAATCTTCCCTTTGTCCTAACTTTTAAAGGCCCAGACTCTTTGTACGTCATCAGTTGATAACCCAATAGATGCACTAGAGGTGTGGTTATCTTCCAGATCACAATTTAGGTATTTGGTCTATAGAGGGCAGTCTTGTCCCACTAAACATACCTATCCAGGAAAGAGTTAACTTTTCCTGGTGGCTATTTTGACGTCATTTTGTGTTATCTTTATAGTGCCATAATTTAAAATTTCAAAGGGTTTCTTTAAGTTTTGTCCAGACTATGTGTCTGGCAAATCTGAGTTTTGACCCATAACTTACAATGGTACCTTACACATATAGACAGTAAAATGTTATTATTTAATCTTCTCTGTCACAATTGTCTGGGTTTAGAATTGATTATATTCTTCTTATCACTTGGTTTGTATATACTATGCATTCCTTTAGCTCTGGCAAAGTGGTTAGTTTTACAGAAAGAAATCTTGTGTCTTTTTGTTAACTTGAAAATTACAAAATGGAGTCTGGTCTGTTCAGAGTGACTCAGAATATACACTTTTAGTTTCTATCATAGCACAAAATGTCTGCCGATATAAATACCCTGACAGTGGTCGCCCCATTGTAGATCCAGATAGCGTCAATATATCCACAGGTGGTGAACTGTCTCTGGTCTCTCGGGCTTCCCATACATTCTGGGCTTCCATTGCTTGTGCCATGATCTGCCATGATCTGTACCACAATCTCCGGTGTAGGGTTAGGTCCCGCCAGGCTAAGTCTCCACCTTACATCCCTTTGGAACTCAGTTTCCTCCATATTTGTTGTTTGTTGTTCGCTGGCTTGATCGCTCTCCAGTAGTTTGGCTATTATTGTGGCTTTCGGCTTGTTGCTTGCCACTATGCCTCGAGCTTCCAGCAGTTCTTTCAGTGTTGTCCATTTCAGATGTTTGTATTCATTCACTACTTGGTTCAGTATATCCATTCGGGAGAAAATCCTGCTGTTTGCCACCAGTGTAACAGATCCTGCTATCCCTGTAGGAACGATCCTTGTAGCTTCTCCCAAAATCCCAGCTGAATGAAAGCAAAGTTGTGATTATAACTCCCAATCCCCCAAACATGAGTCAAGACTTCATAAAGGGGTAAAACGATCTGGTTTAATGCTGGCCACAGCTCAGCCTTTTGTGATGGTCTTCCAGCAAGGGTTACTCCCACAGGGACCTTGTGGAAGAATGTGACTCAAAATACAGTAACCAACCATTTTACAATACAAAAACACACCCACACAAACAGTGAAATCCCTCCTCTCTATCCTGGAGATAATTGGCTTAAGTGGTTGGAGTAAACATAATTATCTCCAGGTAGAGAGAAACATTTATTTTTTGCATTATAACAAAACTGCATTAAAACCAATAACTCACATTTTGCCGAATGGAGTCCCCATGTTCAACATACCCCCAGATAGCTTGGATCTGAGCGCATTATGTAGTTGAATGGCGCTCAGATCCCACGAACACAGTTTAAATGCCATCAAGTTAAATATTTACTTCACCGGTTGTTCGTTAAAATGTATCCAAAAATAGTTTCATGATTTCACCTGGGGTCGGTCTATTTTGTATGTTAAAAAGTCCTGAACGGTATAGTGTTCGTGCACTAGGAAACAGATGGGATGGATGTTGGTAAACCTCAGCGGTATTCATCTGAATATGTGTCCGAAAATAGTTCCATAGCGTCAACGACAATCTACCGCTGAACGTTCTACAATTTAAAATGGCTACCGTCACTTGTTCGATAAACTAACGCTGATCACCCAGACGTTCGACAAATACCTGTGGTTAACCGCAATGGCTGGGTGGTTAATGAGCTGCACACAACCATTGTAGGTGGTCTGATGGTTCGGGAGTTTGTTTGGCTATTTTAATAAAAGCATGAAAAGGGGCAAACACACGAATATCATACAAAACAACTGCCTCCAGGGATTTGACAAAACTAGGGTTTTGTCACACAGCTCCCCCTTAGTCTCATGGAATGGCATGCCTGCTTAGATCCTAACAGGTTGGCTAGGGGGATGTCCGGATGACAGTGTTATTTCTCCAGTTCTGTTCTGCCGGGACAACCCATCAGCATTGGCGTTCTGCTTCCCGGAGCGATACTGCATATTAAAATTATAGAGTTGCAGTGCCCAGCTCCGTCTTAGTAGTCTGGGGTTGTCTGCGGCCACAGCATGAAAGGGGGCAAATACACAAATATCATATGAAATAACGGTCTCCAGGGATTCAACAAAACAGGGTTTTTTCCACAATAAAGAATAAATCATATATAAGGGTGCTTTTGTTTTTTTATGGATTGTGTTGTGATTTTTGTATGGCTCCCAAAGCCCAATACCTTAGGGGTGATGGAGTTTAGGGGGAGTAGAAGATTGAGTTGAAGGAGGGGAAATGGAGTTTAGAAGGAGGTATGATGGTATTTAGGAGGAAGGAGGGTTGGAGTTTGGGAGTAGGGGGAAACTCCCTACTGTCACCTTTCATTCTCGGTCTGCCACATTTCTAAACTCTCTTTGTAAGATGAATCCCCCCTCCTTCTCAACTCCATCTTCTCTCTTTTTAAATAGAGGCTATACAGGTTTCAGAAAGCACACAAAATCACAACATAATGCATCAAATATAAAATCCATCCTTTTATATTCCCATATCTGATAATGTATTACTTTTTCAGGAGTTTATATACCTGATGCCTGACTCCTAATTCCTGAGGTAGGATGGATTTTACAGGTAGTAAATATGGTGTTTTGATGGATGACTGATTGAGGTAGAAGAAATTAAAAATTATGGTGATATGGAGAAGGGAGGAATTATACCATAAAATGTACTAAAATATGAACCTTAATTTTTCCTTATTCTTAATAGTATAACTGTCACCCTTTTCCCTCGTAGTGCCCTAAAGGACTGAGACCAATGAAGGATGGAAGTGGTTGTTTTGATTATTCCAGAGGAATTGACTGTTCAGATGGATCCAATGGTGGCTGTGAACAACTTTGCTTGCAACAAATAGTTCCTCTCCCAGAAGAACCACACGAGAGTGCTATATACATGTACTGTGGGTAAGACAGGAAAATTAACATAAAGAGTAGTGATAGACCAATGAGGGAGTGGGTTGAGGAATTATTTAGAAAATAAGTACAGATACAGGTAAAATGTAGGACAGTAGTAATGCAAGATGGACAGAGAGAGCAATCCAGAAGTAAAAAGCAAAGCCAACAGACATGTACCCTGTAGTGATCTGCATGCAACATATAATAAACTTTGCCACTGGTTTAAAATACCTGAGCATCACTAAGTATTTTCTCTCAGAAACCAATATTAAGTAAATAAACCGACTGGTTTGAATGCTGTCTACATTTATTTTTATTTCATTTATTCCACAGATTGTGAGTGGTGCAATAATTAGAAAGTTAGGCATCAGCAAATGTGCATAAAACAGTGAACAAAAAGTTAGAATGTTCTTTTTTTTTTTTTTTTTTTTTATTAGCCCCTATAGCCCTGACTAGACAGGAACAAGAAGATTATAATAAGGTGTCGGTAATGTAAATGCAGATTAAAAAATAATTATTTCCAGGCAGTAGCTAGCAATTTGGATACTCTACAGTGATATCTCTCAGAATCACTATCAAAATACCAATTTGAATCTGATAAATAGGAACCAGCCTCTCGAGGACATCTTGTGAATTGATTACATTTAAATCTGATGGGGAGGGTGACTTTTGTGGAGTACTATGCCATTGATTACAACAAACATGCCAAACTCAAAGGCTAACTTGGGCCAAATAAACCAGGCTCTCACTCTCTGGCGCGTGCAGTGTCAGATTGAGTGCCGGGTAGTCACGTGACACCCGACGCTCCTACACAGAGCGTGAGGGGGAGACAGTCCCCCTCTCAGCGTACATTGTGTGTGGTTCCTTTATGGCCTCTGCCTGGGGGAACAGGGGGTGCAGACTGAGGCTGGCAAGTGATTTTTGCTCCCCTCTCGACCAGCCCATTTGGCTGGGCCGCAAGTAAATTAATTGTGGGCCGCCCGTTTGACATGCTTGGATTACAATGTTGACTGTTTAAAGAAGGATCATATTTTAGAGACTCCTTATTATGTCCTTATTGATTTCAAATAGGGCAAGTGTAGGGGTGAAGGCTGTCTCTATACTTGCAGTATTTTTCTCCCAGCCAATGCTGCTGCTACAGAGAGGATCTGTTTGTGCAATATAATGGATAGAGAATAGTGACCAAGAATTGCTAGTGTAGATGTGTGATTTAAAACTGGCACAGTTGGGGAAACCAGGTATATCAGATATTTTGATTAATAGGCAGTTCTAATGGCAATTGTACAGATCTGCACTGTCACATGAATTCATTATAAATAATCTGCTAGGTGTATAGCAGGCATAGACAATTACCTTGACAATCTTTCTTAATATGAAACAAAGTGACATGCCATCTGTAAATTATTGCAGTCTGGTATATATCTAGTTAGATTATATAACAGTAAAATCATAAATATATTTTAAAAATAAATAAATAAATAAATAAATAAATAAATAATAGAGGCAGTCTCATGCATGTCAGCTTATCTACATAATTTCAACCACTTATACATGGAGGTAATGAGGAGTGAAAATGGATTAAGTTAAGTGGGGAAGAAAGTTGCAAGCTCAATGAGATGTCAGTATATAGCAATGTTGGTCGAAATAGCAATCTATGGCATGTCTAGTTTAACCTCCTTGGCTATATGCATGCGAGCTAAGGAGATTTGGGTCACCACGAGGCTTGGGCTGGCAGATTTGTTAAACCAAGAGCTGCCCTTTAATTTGCTGTTAGTACTCAGAATCCTTCTTGGATGACATGTGATTGTTTTCATAATATGTGTAAGAGGAAATCACACTTTTATCTGATACACTTCCAAAGTAATAATCTGGATTTGTTCCAGTGGAATGCTGAGATAAAACATGTTGAGCTATCAAAACATATTAAGAGTGGTAAGGATAATTGTCACAATGCATTTTATGTGCATGAGTAGCAAAAATTACAAGTCCATGCTGATCAAGAATGCATATGAGGGTGGAGCGGTGGTGGTTTTAGATTCTGTGAAATATAAACTTGAAACGTTGACACAATTGAAGGATCATGACACTTATGTTAAGTTAAATATGTTTAAACGTGAATTGTCATGTTTAATAGATAAGGGTATTTAAAAAAAAAAAAAAAGACTTTCATCCGCTGCTGAGTTTATCTTAAATAATCATCCAGTAACCTTTCTCTTTCACCATCTACCAAAGGTTTCATAAGACACTTGTAGACTCATCTAGGTATAATGTGGCTTGAGATGGTTCCCTTGGTAAAAACCTCTCAGAGTGGGTTGATTCATATTTGCACACTTGGTTGGCGCGTTACCTAATAATGCAAGATATTAAGCATGAGCTGCACAAACAAGAGTTTAAATGGGAGTTTGAGTGTTTTTGGCTGGCCGTGAATGTGACTTTTCTCTACTCAAGCATTCCAAATGAGCTTCATCTAGTAACTGGTATTATTATTATTATTATTATTATTATTATTATTATTATTATTCATTTATTTATTTATTTTTAAGAGTTTATACATTTTCTTGTATTTAATGTTTGCTAATTCATAATGTGACAGAGCTCAAGGCATTGTTGTGGGTGGTGTCAATTTTCCTCCAAAAGTATTGCAATGTATGGTCTATTAGCCCAGAAATAATTTTGTTTTAGTCATGGCAATTCTGTTATTTATATTGGTTCCTGGAGTGGAACATTTGGAGTGAAGTCAGGGCTAGTGCTCCACTCCACAGTTTGCATATTGATGAATCCAGTCCAGGAGTTCTGGATCACCAAGGTAGTTGTTCACCTGTTAGCAATAAGCAGCACAAGGCTGCATTGCATTTTCCTGTCAGAGATTCAAGGGAGAAGGAGGAGCAGTGAGTGAGAAAGAATTATCTCTCCACAACAACTTGCTGATAAATTTTTATTCTGAAGAAGAAAATAAAAAGTTATGTTTGAAAAAGGTCTGTGCTTAATTTTCTGTTTTTTTTTTTTTTTTTTTTTTTTTTTTTTTGGTAGCGGGTAAGCCACCCAACTATAGTTAGTAGCAAGTGCTAGTGTTTAGAAAAGCAAGACTTTTTTTTTTTTTTATTATTTAAATTGTTTATTTGCCAGACTTATTAATAAAAAAAATAAAAATAAAAAAATAATGCAATTTTATAGAGAAAAACTCTATAATTGAAGTACAGACTCACCAGCTAGAACTAAAATCAAAACATTCTGGGTGGTCTTAAAATCCCTAAAATTACTGAAACATAGAAACATAGAATGTGACGGCAGATAAGAACCATTCGGCCCATCTAGTCTGCCCAATTTTCTAAATACTTTCATTAGTCCATAGTCTTATCTTATAGTTAGGATAGCCTTATGCCTATCCCACGCATGCTTAAACTCTTTTACTTTGTTAACCTCTACCACTTCAGCTGGAAGGCTATTCCATGCATCCACTACCCTCTCAGTAAAGTAATACTTCCTGATATTATTTTTAAACCTTTGTCCCTCTAATTTAAGACTATGTCCTCTTGTTGTGGTAGTTTTTCTTCTTTTAAATATAGTCTCCTCCTTTACTGTGTTGATTCCTTTATATATTTAAATGTTTCTATCATATCCCCCCTGTCTCGTCTTTCCTCCAAGCTATACATGTTAAGATCCTTTAACCTTTCCCGGTAAGTTTTATCCCGAAATCCATGAACCAGTTTAGTAGCCCTTCTCTAAACCCTCTCTAAGGTATCAATATCCATCTGAAGATACGGTCTCCAGTACTGTTTACAATACTCCAAGTAAGGTCTCACCAGTGTTCTGTACAATGGCATGAGCACTTCCCTCTTTCTACTGCTAATACCTCTCCCTATACAACCAAGCATTCTGCTAGCATTTCCTGCTGCTCTATTACATTGTCTTAGGCAGAAAAAATGGGCACAACATTCACTAACTTCCAATCTTCTGGGACTACTCCTGTTAACAATGATTGGTTAAATAAATCTGTTAATGGTTTTGCTAGTACACCACTAAGCTCTTTTAATAGCTTTGGGTGTATTCCATCAGGTCCCATTGACTTATTTGTCTTTACTTTTGACAGTTGAAATAGAACCTCTTCCTCTGTAAACTCACGTGTAATACATGACTCATTTATCCTTTTTCTCAACTGAGGTCCCTTTCCTTAATTTTCATCTGTAAATACAGAACAAAAATATTCATTGAGGCAGTCAGCTAGACCTCTATCCTTTTCTACATACCTTCCCTCTTTTGTTTTTAATCTAACTAATCCTTGTTTTACTTTTCTTTTCTCATTTATGTATCTAAAAAAAAATGTTTTATCCCCCTTTTTTATTGACTGTGCTATTTTCTCTTCTGTGTGTGATTTGGAAGCTGTTATAACTTGCTTAGCCTCTTTCTGCCTAATCTTATAGATCATTTTGTCTTCCTCACTCTGTTTTTTTTTTTATAATTCCTAAATGCTAACTTTTTGTTTTTAACTATTTTGGCCACATCTGCAGGGTACCACAGTGGTTTCTTGAATTTTTTGCTTTTACTGACAAGCCTAATGCAATGTTATGTTGCCTTCAATAGTGCAACGTTTAAATAATCCCATTTCTCTTGGACTACATTTAAATTGCTCCAGTCTGATAATGACTCCTCTACCCATATTCTAATTTTAGAAAAGTCTATTTATCTAATGTCTAAAACTTTTGTTTTTGTGTGGTGTGACTCAGTCACTGTTCTTATATTAAACCACACTGACTGATGATCACTGGATCCTAAACTTTCACCTACAGTAATATCTGATACCAAATCTCCATTTGTTAACACTAAATCTAGTATGGCTTATTAAAGTCACTCCATGATGATAACTTCCCCCTTCATTGTCATTTTAGCTATTTCCTCAACTAGTAGATTATCTAACTCTTCAATTTGTCCTGGGGGCCTATAAATCACACCTACACGAGTTACTGTGTGATTACCAAATTCTAGCGTAGCCCAAACAGACTCTATGTTTGCCTCACTAACTTTTATTAGGCTAGATTTTATGCTATCCTTCACATACAAGGCCACCCCTCCCCCTTTCTTGCCTTCCCTATCTTTCCTATATAAAGAGTACCCTGGTATTGCTATGTCCCAGTCATTTTTCTCATTGTACCATGTCTCAGTAACAGCGACTAAATCTACACTATCAGTTGCCATTATTGCCACAAGTTCATGGATCTTATTCCCTAAACTGCGAGCATTTGTAGACATGACTCTAAGCTTATCATTTTTTAACACACTTGCTACAGGCACCTTCTGTCCTTGTTTTGGGGGACAATTGGATTGATGTTTTATCACCCTTTTGCCCCCCCCTCCTAGTTTAAATACATCCTAGCAAAACCTCTGAACTGCTCACTGAGAACATTTGTTCCCTTTTGAGAAAGATGCAAACCATCTTTTTTGTACAGCTTATCTCCATTCCAAACAGAGCTACCATGAGAAATAAAGCCAAATCCTTGCTCCCGACACCATTCACCAAGCCACAAATTAAAGTCCCTAATACGCATCCGCCTGTCGTTCTGAGTGTTATGCACAGGCAGAACTTCAGAGAATGACAGTGTGGAAGCAACCTGCCGTATATCATTGGCAAAAACACTAAAAACTTCCTTAACCTCTGAAACCTCATTGCAAGCTAAGTCATTTGTCCCTTGATGGACAAGTACATCCAATTCCCCTTCCTGCTTTGCTTGCTTAACAATATTACAGATACGTCTCCTGTCTCTGTGAGCAGTAGCTCCGGGAAGACACCTCACAAGACCACCATCGTCCATCTCCACACCTCTTATAATGGAATCCCCCAACAACAACTGCTTTCTATTAGGCCTCACCATAGTCTCCAAGCCTGTCTCCACAACACCACTAGTCTCATTGCCTCTCTCCACAACACCACTAGTCCCAGTGCCTCTCTCCACAACACCACTAGCCTCAGTGCCTCTCTCCACAACACCACTAGCCTCAGTGCCTCTCTCCACAATACCACTAGCCTCAGTGCCTCTCTCCACAATACCACTAGTCTTAGTGCCTCTCTCCACAACACCACTAGCCTCAGTGCCTCTCTCCACAACACCATCACACTCTGAAAGTGCAGAAAATGAATTATAAAGAGCAACAGACTGTGCAAACAGATCGTTTAAATACATATATTTCATAGATCAAGATCAAACAAGTTATTTCTGACCTGAAGCCTTTCAAAGTTCCAAGTACAGACTGTTATTTTACAAAAAAAAATCCAGGGAATAGTTTTACCAACTCTTTCCAGGACATTTCAGGATTTCCCAAATTATTCCTAATACGATGTTTCACGCCACTATATCTCCAATCCTAAAACCGGGAAAGGATCCCATATCAATGTCTAACTACAGACCAATATCTCTAAAGTAGATGCAAAATTTTTCCCAAAGATCATAGCTAACCAACTCAAGCTGATAATTCCACAGTAAATCCATAAAGATTAGTCAGGATTTGTCATGGACAGAAACCCAATAGACAACACTCATAAAATAATAAATATCAATTATAACTCAGAGTTGTCTAAAACAGGAATGACATTTTTAGCCTTACATGCCGAAAAGGCATTCAACAGAGTCAGAGTCTTGCCATAAAATTAATTCAATAGTACCAATATTGGCTCCTTCATAAATTATATTAGAAATTTTATTGTTATTATTATTATTATTATTATTATTATTATTATTATTATTATTATTATTTATTTAATTTTAATTTTTTTAAAGCCTATACCATCCATTCATAGTTTAATAATGAGGGAGTTATTATTTGATACTGAAGATTTGAACTTGCATGTGTCACACCATACAAAGGATTATCAATGATCTATTTATGCTTTGTTAGACTCTATTGCATACCATGGTTGAAATATTGACTCTTTTAGTTGTAATTTGTATGTGTATAATCATATTCACTTGATATGTCTCTTTAATGAAGATAATTGTTATGTTTATATGTTCATAAGGCAATGCATTTGTTTTGCAGTTTAGGTTTGTAAAACTAGTGAGATGTGTGTTCAGTAATATCTTTACTGTCTAGGTGTGTGGAAGAATATCGGTTGGGCCCAGATGGTAGGTCTTGTCTAATGGTGACTGAAATCTGTGAAGGTCACAAGTGTCTACGGTTAGAAAATCACCAGAACAATACACTGTTTGAGGAGATGCTGCATGGGTTTGACAATAAAACCCAGAGAGTCAACCAAGGGAGAGTTTTCCAGATGAGCTTCAGGTGAGATCTAGTGGGGAAGATTTATGAATGCTGTTTTTTTTTTTTTCAATGAGAATAATTTATGACAAACAAAAGTATTTTTTTTTTTTTATTATCTGTCAGATTATGTGTCTTCCTCAAATAAGGTTTTACTGAAACACTTAGGCCTGGAGGGAATTGGACATTCAGAGGTTTCAGACAAGATTGCAACTTTCCAGTGCTTGGAGCCATCTAAATGGTGGTTTTAATGCTATTGGGTCAAAAATACATGTTTGTGTTCCTGGCCCTATAGTGTTACTTTATTATAAACATTAAATCATGTCAAAAATACATAACCCTTTAAGGATGCAGCTTTAACATGCTGTAACATACTCTTAAAGAAGCTAGCATTTTTTTTTAGTTTGTTTGACTGTGCTCAACAGCAATTTGCATTTTTCTTATGTATTGCACCAACACATATTATATTGGTTTTAATTTAATGTGACATTTACATATATAAGGTTTAATTTATTATTTAAAAAATGGAATAAAAAAACTGTTTGGCAATACTAACTTGTCTAGCTTAAGAAAAATAATTCTATGTAAATAAATATATGTGTCTTGATTTATAGAGTACATATTATGTCTATCATATCTGTTTATTTTGAAAGTTACATGTCACAAGATACAAGGAGTAAAATAGCATTTGCAATGTGTAACAATTGTAAACGTTGGTATATGTGTCTTGTAAGTTTAACACCCATCCCAGAAAACAAAATTGCCACGTAAAAATATATATATTTACATACTGTAGACATCACAAGCTATTTACCTATGGTTATTTTTACACTTTTCACATAGCCATTTCACTGCCAATCTCTACTAAATATTGTAATAACATTTTTATTTTTTTATTTTTTTTTATTTTTTTTACATAGACAAATAAGGATGTGTCCATGTGTTTTTCATCAAGCTGATATGTGTTATTCCTGTGCAAAACCCCATAATGTGTTCAGCATTGTATGCCTTTGCCACTATTCTGTAAATCTACAATGCCATAAACAATACCATGCTATTTCACAGGGCCGCCAACAGAAATTTTGGGGCCTCTAACTGAGCTTAGGGTCTGGGTCCCCGGGGGCCCACCTCCAAAACCGCCCACAGAGACCACCTCCAAATCCCGCCCACAGGAATACACACACAGATACAAACACATTCACTGATACAAAAGGACACAGATACACACACACACACACACACAGACACACATACTGATACGCATATAGGCATACATACTGACACACACATACTGAGACATACACACATATACATACACAGGCGTGCATAGTGACAGACACATACTAACGTACATACATGCAGACACACATACTGATATGCATATAGGCATACATACTGACACACACATACTAAGACATACACACATATACAGACACACGTGCGTACATAGTGACAGACACATACTAACATACATACAGACACACACACCGATACACATATAGGCATACATACTGACACACACATACTAAGACATACACACATATACAGACACACAGGCGTACATAGTGACAGACAGGGCCGGACTGGCCAACCGGGATACTGGGAAATTTTGCGGTGGGCCGTCGGCACCTGGGGCCGGGCAGACACCTGGGTCTGCTGGCGGCCGCTGGGGAGGTCTTCTGGGAGCTTCTGGCGGCCGCTGGGGGACTTGTCCTGGCAGCCGCTGGGGGAGCTGCGCGTGTGTGTGTCTGTCTGTCTCTGTCATGGTGTCTGTATGCATGGTGTGTGTGTGTGTGTGTGTGTGCCTGTCTGTATGTATGGTGTGTGTGTGTGTCTGTCTGTCCGTCATGGTGTGTGTGTGTGTGTGTGTGTGTCCTTCATGGGGTGTGTGTGTGTGTGTGTGTGTGTGTGTGTGTATGTCTGTCATGGAGTGTGTGTGTGTGTGTGTCGTCATGGGTGTGTGTGTGTGTGTGTGTCTCTGTCCGCCATGGGGTGTGTGTGTGTGTGTGTGTATCTGTCCGTCATGGGGTGTGTGTGTGTGTGTGTGTGTGTCTGTCCGTCATGGGGTGTGTGTCTGTGTCATGGTGTGTGCCTGTCTGTGTCATGGTCTGTCATGGTGTGTGTGTGTGTGTGTATGTGTCTGTCTGTCATGAGGTGTGTATCTGTCATGGTATATGTGTGTTTCTGTGTCTGTCATGGTGTAAATGTGTGTTTAAAAATAGTGTTTTTGCTCACCTTTTTTCACGCAGCGTGCTGGTCTCCCCTCGACTGGCCCTGCTTCTATAGCTGAGATCATCAAGCTTGATGATCTCAGCCAATCCAATGCTTTGCCATAGGATTGGCTGCAAAACGCCACTCCAATCAGTATCTCCTCATAGAGATGCATTGAATCAATGTATCTCTATGGGGAACGTTCAGCACCTACAGAGTGTGGAGGCCCTGAATGTAGATGCACTCACACAGGAAGCACCTCTAGTGACCGTCTGAGTGACTGTCACTAGCAGTGTCACTTTGAAGCAATGTAAACGCTGCCTTTTCTCTGAAAAGTCAGTGTTTAGATTGAAAAGCCTGTAGGGACATGCTATAGACACCAGTACCACCACATTAAGCAGTGTGTGTGCATCTGCTAGTGAGTGAGCATGCTTGCATGTGTGTGCCTGCTAGTGAGTGAGCTTGTGTTTTTATGTCAATGAGCTGATGTTTATCAGTAAGATTGTTTGTCTATGAGGCTGTGTATCAATGAGCTTGTGTGTGTCATTGAGATGTCAGTGAAATTGCCTGTGTCTGCATGTGAGAATGCTTACTGTATAATTAAACGTTTTACCCTGAAAGGACCAATATTTTATATTAGAAAAAGCAATATATATATATATATATATATATATATATATATATATATTACTCAATCATCTGTCATGGCAAGACATAGCCTTACATATTACACACAACAATATATAGCGCAGTGACTTATGGGGCTGGCACAAATTTTTTTTTTCAGGACTGCTTTGTATTCTCAGTCCGGCCCTGGTGACAGAGACATACTAACATACATACAGACACACATGCATAAGGACATACAGACACATTCATAATGACAAACAGACCAACATTCATACTGGCATACATACATTCATACAAACAGACAGACATACACAAATTCATACACATATAATGACTTGCATACAGGCATACAGACATGCATACATACATACATACAGACAGGCATACATTCATACTGGCATACATACATTCATACAGGCACTGACATCCATACGTACACACATTCATAATGACATACAGACATACATTCATACTGGCATACATACATTCATACAGACATACATTCATACACACACAACGCCATGCATACAGACATGCATACAGACATACATGCATACACACATGCATACAGACAGACATACCTGCAGACATACAGACATACATACATACTGGCATACATGCATTCATACAGACACCAACATCCATACATACATACAAACATACATACATAAATTCATTCATACTGGCATACATGCATTCATACAGACACTGACACCCATACATACACACATTCATAATGACATACAAACATGCATACACTAACATTCATACACACATAATGACATGCATACAGACATACAGACACCCATCCATCCATCCATACATACATACATACATGCATACATACATAATGGCATACATACATACATACATACACACAGACATTGACATACAGACAGACATCCATGCATACATACAGACATAGATACATAATGACATACATACCCACAGACATACATACAGACATAAATTCACATACACACACAGCTCATTTTCCAGCCACCCTCCTGCCTCTTACCTTGTCTTTGCAGGAGGGTGGCTGGGGCTGATGAGACTGGGAGTTGGCTTTCTCTGCCTCTTCATTGCCGGGCGCGCGCTCCTCCCACGCAGAGTGAGCTGGGAGGAAGTAAGTAGTGACCACTTTCTCCCAGCAGCACTTCCACTGCAGCGGCATTTTTGTTTTTTTAAAGGGGCCCGGTTGCGGTATACCACGGCCACAGCGCTGACCGGGCTCCATCAGCGTGCGGGCCCCGGTGGAACTGCACCGGTGGCAGTTCCGCCCCTACAAGCGGGGCCCGGGCCCGTGACAACCGTTATGGTTGTCACCCCCTGATGGCGGCCCTGCTATTTCAGTTTCTATAGTTAGGCTGCACAAGATGTATGAACATTCTAACAGATTTGCCCATTTGAGTGAAGTTGTTGGGAGAATCAGCTCAGGAGTAGCTGTACTGTAGGAAGCTGTCCCTTCTAACAGCTGTGGGAACAGCCCCTCTAGTACTGAGAGTGTAAGGAAGGCTAGACAGGTTGTGGTGGTAGGGGACTCTATTATTAAGAGAGTAGATAGGGTAACCTGCCACTCTGATTGTCTCAACAGGACAGTTTGCTGTTTCCTGGGTGCTCGCGTCCAGCATTTTGCTCTCAAAGTGGAGGGATTATTGGGAGCGCTGGGATGATCCAGCTGTCATGGCCCATATTGGTAACAATGACAAAGTCAGAGGAAAATGGAAGGTCCTAAATAATGAGTTCAGAGAACTAGGATGTAAGCTACGGAAGAGGATCTCCAAGATAATATTTTCAGAAATATTATCTGTGCCGCCCGCTACAGCAGAAAAGCGGTGACCAATTAGAGAGTTCACTGTGTGGCTGAAGTCTTGGTGCAGGGAAGAGGGTTTGGGGTTTTTAGAGCACTGAGACGATTTTGCGCTTGGGTACAGCCTGTGTAGCCGGGATGGATTGCACCTAAACGGAAGAGAGTCTGCTGTGCTGGGGGATAGAATGGCTAGAAGGTTGGAGGATATTTGAAACTACAAGTATGGGGACAGACGGGGTCATAGCAATCTAGAAAATGGAGATAGGATAGAAAGGTTATGGGCTTTAGCTCAGTATAAGGCGGGTGGAGATGGGGGGGCGGGCAAGCTCAGAACAGAGGAGGTATGCAATATTCACAAAATGTACAAATGACTCATG